TCCTCCTCCTCCTCCTCCTGGCGGCAGCCGAGCCCGACGGCGAGCTCCCAGCGAGCCAACTTACTGAAAAAATCTTGGACGGAGGTTGTGGGGGAGTTCGGCCCCCATATGGGGCCCTCGCTGGGCCTCGGCGCCGTCAAAACAAAACGACGCAGGAGGAAGAACCGGTCCTGGGGAATGGGCCGAGACCTCTAGGGACCCCGCAGGGGAATAAACATCACGACATCGGCCCTCAGAATTCGTGCCGTGCCAACTTCGGCTCTGGTTCCTGACACCGCGAGGATCGACCGACGTCGAACGACCGGCCGTGCCCGCAGTGGGCCGCCCCTGAGTCTGAGCCGCCGTCGCCGTGCTACGTGGAGCGCCAGCGGCGAGGCCGTGGCCAGTCGGCGCGGCACGAACCCGAGGAGAAGGATGAGGAGGAGGAAGAGGAGGAGGAGGAGGAGGAGGAGGAGGAGGAGGAGGAGGAGGAGGCGGGGGAGAGGAGGACGAGACCGACCATGGACTCTCGGGAAGCCGCAGCCCCACCGACCATGGGCTCTCGGGAAGCGGAGGCCAAGGTCGGACCTCAGGGTTCGCAGGGGCCCAGCCCCCCAGTCCCCGCGCGGTCCCGGGCGCTCTTGGGGTGCGTCGCGTGTGCCTCTGGGACGGTCCCCTCGCTCAGGGGAGACCCAAAACGGGCCAAGAAAGCCCCAGAAGGCCTCCTTGCATCGCGCCGTATTGCCGATACGTCGGCGATGCATCGGCGATGCACCGGCGATGCATCGTCGACGTCGGCGATGCATCAGCGACGTCGACGTGAAGCTAATCGGGCCCCTCATCGAGCCGCACCGGCGATGCATCAGCGATGCGGCGCGATCCTCCGACCCCATCTAGGAGGCCCAGAGGAATCGATGGGAGGCGGGGGTAGAGTGCAGACTTCGCGGCGTGCTCAAACGAATTCCGAGTCCTACCCCCGCCGCCCATCGAGCTGCCTGGATCGTGGATCGGCGAGGGTACAGGGCTCGGCTTTCGCCACCGATTCCGGGTCCAGAGCCCCTCGAGTCATGAACAAATAACGCAGGCTTCGGGACCGCCAGAACAAAAAAAAACGACTCGGGATGAAAAATGGTCCTGGGGAATGGGTCGAGGGCTCTGAACGTCGATGCTCTTTTTGTTGCTGAGACACTGAGACACAGAAGAAACATCACGCCGGGGACCTGTAGGAACTCGGGCCTCCGGCTGCATCTTGGCACGATCCGAACACCCCCGGAGGGCGCTCGGCGAACCGATGGAACGCGCCCCAGGGCTGGAAAACGCCCAGGCCACTCCTCGATGAACGAAGATGAAGAACGGCACAAACATAAACTTTTGGAGCTCCGCGCTGACTTCCATCCCCCCCCTCCCTGGCGCGCTCCGCGCGCCAGGGGCGTCGCCGGAGGCGCCGCCGGAAGGGCCTGGCGCCAATCAAAGAAGTCCACGCGGAGCTCCGAAAGTTGATGTTCATGCCGTTCTCTGTCCTTCGAACCCCTCGCTATCGCTCGGACGCTCATTCCCCGTAATTACATTGTTCGGTTTCGCGCGCCTTTTTTTCTCCGAGAGGATCCAGGATGCTCCTCGCGCTGGCCCTCGCCGAACAAAACAAAAAAAAAAAAAAAACACGTCCGAGCCATGCCAAGGACCCCCGGGGAGAAACTTCCCTCGGCGCGGTGGCGCTCGCCTCCGGGAGCGCGCGCGCGCCAGGCCGCCGCTGCGCGCGCGCGGGCGCGGCGGCCGCGTCCGCCCCCGCGGCGCTCGGGCCGTCGCCTGTCGGGGATGGACAGACCTCCCTTGAGTAAAACGTGGTTTGGTGAAAACGGCCTCGGGCCCAGACCTGGCGGGCGCAGGCCTGGAAAGTTTGACGGCCGCGGCGCCGTCTCGAGAACCGAGAACGGACAATTCACTAATCGACGTGTCACTGTTGGGAGTTCTGTCTCCGCCTCCTCCTCCTCCTCCTCCTCCTCCTCCTCCTCCTCCTCCTCCTCCTCTGCTACTCCTACTCCTCTCCTCCTCTCCTCCTCTCCTCCTCTTCCTCTTCCTCCTTCCGCCCGGCGGCGCCCGCGGCCCGGGCCGTCGCCTGGGGCGGCGCCGCCGCCGCGAGCGGCGGGGTCGGCGGCGCGCCCGGCCGGTCGCGCGGTCGAGCGGCCGGCGGCCCCCGCGGCGCCGCGGCCGCGGCGCTCCGTGGCCGGCGGAGGGTCCTCGCGCGGCGCCCGGCGGTGGGCCGCGGCGCTCGCTGGGCCCGCTGGCCGTGGCGCGAGCGTCGTCGTCGTCGTCGTCGTCGCCGTCGTCGTCGCCGTCGCCGTCGCCGTCGCCGCCGCCGTCGTCGCCGTCGCCGCCGCCGTCGCCGTCGCCGTCTCTGTCGTCGTCGCCAACGTCGTGCCAGATCTCTGGCGAAATCTTTCTCAATCCGGGCGTCTTCTTCGAATTCGGCCCTCAGCAAACATGATTCCTGGGAGCTACCCCTGGGGAAGGCGACGGGGCCTGAGCTAAATGGGCCCTGGAAGCGACAAGGCCGTTTTTTCACCGGTTCCGTTTTGCCGTTTGTTTGCCGGTTCCGACGCCGTTTTTCATCGGTTCCGTCGCCGTTGCTTTACCGGGTGAAGCTCCGATTCCAATCCTGGAGCCGCTTTTTTGCAGTTTCTGGTCGCGGCTTTCTTGCCGTCATCTTTTTCAAAAGACACTTTTTCGGGAACGGTGAAAGAACGGCTCTGCCGTTCCCGGGGCCCACTGAGGGCCCGAGGGACCGCCGATTGGAACAGCGAACGAACAAAGCTAATCGGCCGATGTCAGGCTATCCCGCGCGCGCCCCAACGAACAACAGCCGAATTGAGCCCGGGGATGCTCTGCTCCTCCTCCTCCTCCTCCTCCTCCTCCTCCTCCTCCTCACCTTTCCTCCACCGCGTCACAGTTTTCGACGTCCTCCTCGTCCTCCTCTGCACTCATATTCTCCTTCTCCTGCTCCTGCTCCTGCACGAAGCCCCGCAACCCTGCCCGCTGGCGAACCAGGGACTGGCTCTCTGAAGGCAGAAACTCCGCAACTGAGATCAGGCTCGTCCAGTCTAATCCGTGGCGTGCTTGGTTTTCTCTGAGGGTTGGTGTTTCATCACCCTCTCCCTGGATCGTATAGTCGCCGTCGCGTTCTCGGATGCTTCGCCGTTCGTTGGTGCGTCCTGCGTCCTGGCGCTCGGCCTCCTCATCCTCCTCCGCCGCCTCTGCCTCGTCCTCTGCCTCGTCCTTCTGCCTTATCATCTTATGTGTTGTCCTGTGCCCCCATCGTAGTACGCACTACTATTCCTCATCGTCTTCACCTGTCCCCAATCCCATCCGACAAATAATACCGAGACCATCACCGACCAAGGACGACCGTCAAGCTGCGGAAAGCTGCGGTGTTGAGCACATGGACGCCGTCTCGCTCGCTCTCTCTGTGTCTCTCTCTCGCTCTCTCTCGCGCCCCTCCTGTCCAATCCTCTCCTATGAAATTCCTGTCTCTCCCTACCCCTTCCCCTTTATCTCTCACTAGATTTAGTCGTATGGAGAATAATGTGTCGCATGGCAGACTTTGTGATTAGCTGATCACCGAAGCGGTCCTCCGATGCCACTCAAGGTCGTTTCCAGGATGGCCCGAGGATGGCTCTGCGGATGCACCCTTAGTCCCCCAATGCGCCGCCTGAAAATCCGGATCTCCGAAGCGAGAAAGGCAGAAGTTGGCGAGAACTTCTTCTTTCTTTCGTGACGGAGGCGACGGGCGGTAGGTGCCATTTGCAACTTGTTGGCGAGAAGCAGGATCATGCGTTTCCTGAACCGATGGAGCGTCCGAGGCGAGGAGGAGGGGGAGGGGCAGGAGGGAGGAGGACACGTACCACAGATGTTGGCGAGAAGTGCAGATGTCGGCGAGAACTTCGGATGTTGGCCGCCTCGCCTCAAGAGCAAGCATGTCCTCTCGGGCCCCCGAGTGGCGTGACAGGCCCCAGGATGGCCTCAGATCCCTCGCGCTGCGCCTTGGCTGCTGCGGGGAAGCACTCCTCGCCTCCTTCGGGGACGAAGCCAGGATTAGGTCGGGCATGTCCCCTTACATGCGGATCTTGGACGAACACCCACACATGGCCAGACAAATCTGCAAACGTAGCTTTGCAGAAAAGTCAGAGTCGCAACATCGTCTCCATATTGTGTTCTGATAACGGTTGAATGCTCCTCCCGTAGAGGGACACTCCCGACTTTAATTGGAGGCCTAGAAATGGGCACCAACACCAACACAAGGGGTTGCCTCCACAGGGGGAAGGGGATCCTAGATTTCGGTGTTGGTGGTAATCTTTCGGCCACCTTGGAAGCCAACACATTACCGCCATCGCCGAGATCGGGATCTTCTTCCCCCGGTGGAGGCACACCGCAGAAATTGGTGTTGGTGTCAACCTTTTTTTTTGTTCTGGAACCAGGCGAGCGCCGGACACTTTTCGACAAATCACAGGACCGGGCACTTTCGTCGTAAAGTGTCCGGCCTTGGTGGGCGGCCCAAAGCGGCCGTCGGGTTCGTGGCAAGGCTGATTCGAGAATGGCTCCAAATCGTGCCATCTAGTGCCGCGCGTGTGTGAAACCCGGATGCCGCCACACAGGCGAGCCAGCATGAAAATATCCCACTTAGTGGGACATTTTCAACCTCTAGGCCTGCGATTTAAGCTCGGACGACCACCGGCGGCTGCGGCGCGTCCTGGGCGGCCGCGGGCGGCGCCGCGGCGCGCGCGGCGGCGGCGGCCCGCACCAGGTGCTCCACCAGCTCGGCCCCGGGGGCGGCGGCGGCCTGGCGCTCGAGGCGGCACGGCCTCAGCTGGCCACGCCGCGAGTGCTAGCTAGCGACGACGACGACGACAACGACGACGAAGCCAGGACGAGGATCAAATCGGACGAGGAGAAATCTGGAACCCCTGAGATCTGGCGGCTCTCGAGGGTGTCTTGGGCGCCGTGGCCTTCTCAGAGCGTTCCGGAACGCTCTGAGAACGTTCCAGAAGGCTCTGGGACGGATTCATCCTTGTCCCAGCCCTGCCCGACACCTCCTTCCTGGACCTTTCTGGACCTTTTCAAGAGGTGCGCTCTGGCAAGGGCCTCGAAGCGAGTGCGGCCGTGGCGACGAGGGCCGCCCAGGAGGCCCCAAGAGAATCGATGGGAGGCAGGGGCAGGGTTCGGATTCCGCCACGCGCCCGACGAATTGCAAACCCCATCGAGCTGCCTGAGTGGTGGGTCGACGAAGTTCGGATTCCGCCGCCGAGCGAAGCAGGGAAAAGAGTAGATCCTAACCGTGAGTAGCTTTGCTCTTAACCGTGAGTGATTGAGTGCACGCTGTGAGTGCACGCTGTGAGTGCACACTGTGGTGAGCGCAAGCTGTGAGTGCACGCTATGAGCCCACGCAGTGGTGAGTACACGCTGTAAGTGCACGCTGTGGTAAGTGCACGCTGTGAGTGCACGCTGTGTTGAGCCCACGCTGTCAGTGCACGCTGTGAGCCCACGCTGTGAGCCCACGCTGTGAGCCCACGCTGTGAGCCAACGCTGCGAGCCCACGCTGTGGGCCCACGCTGCGAGCCCACGCTGCGAGCCCACGCTGCGAGCCCACGCTGCGAGCCCAATCCGCGAGCCCACGCTGCGAGCCCACGCTGCGAGCCCACGCTGCGAGCCCACGCAGTGCGCCCACGCTGTGAGCCCACGCTGTGAGCCCACGCTGCGATCCCACGCTGTGGGCCCACGCAACACACCACACGCAACACACCACACGCAACACACCACACGCAACAGACCACACGCAACACACCACACGCAACACACCACACGCAACACACCACACACCACACACATACACACTTCACGCAACACACCACACGCAACACACCACATGCCACACACCACACGCAACACACCACACGCACACACCACACGCAACATACCGCACGCCACACTCCACACGCTACACACACGCAAAACACCACACGCAATACACCACACGCAACACACGACACACAACACACCACACGCCACACGCCACACGCCACACACCACACACCACACACCACACCGCAGACCGCACACCTCCCACACCACACACACACCACCCACCACCACCACCCACCACAGACCACCCACCACGCACCACACAGCACCCACCACGCATCACACACCACACTCCACATACCATACACCATACACTACAGCGTGGGCTCAACACAGCGAGCACTCACACCGAGCCCTCGCAGCGTGGGCTCACAGCGTACACTCACAGCGCGCACTCACAGCGTACACTCACAGCGTACACTGAACACAGCGTGCACTCACAGCGTGCACTCACAGCGTGCACTCAATCACTCCCGGTTAAGCGAATTTCCGCTCACGGTTTGGATTCACCTTCAGCAGGGGACGACCGACGAAGACGACGAGGACGACGACTACGGGGGAGAGGGGCAGGGGAGGGAAGACGGAGCGACCCCCCACCAAGGGGGAGAGGAGGAGGAGGAGGAGGCGGAGGAGGAGGAGGAGGTGGGAGGACGAGGAGGACGAGGAGGACGAGGAGGAGGAGGAGGAGGAGGAGGAGGAGGAGGAGGAGGGGGAGGAGGGGGAGGAGGGGGAAGAGGAGGAGAGGATTGATGATGATGATGAGGAGGAGGAGGAGGAGGGAGGAGGAGGAGGAGGAGGGAGGAGGGAGGAGGAGGAGGAGGAGGAGGAGGAGGAGGAGGAGGAGGAGGAAGAGGAGGAGGAGGAGGAGGGAAAGACGGAGCGACGCCCCAACCACGCCGCGCACGAGCGACGCCGCGCCGACGCGCGGCCTCTGGCGCGCGGCAGGTTTTGGGGGCCGCGCGGAGGGAGCCGAGCCTGCGATGGGGCGCCCGGGCCTCCCGGCACCAGCTTGGGGGGCCGGTCCTCGCGCCCAGGGCTCGGCCCAAGACTTGACTGCCGCTGTCGTTTTGGTTTCGGCTTCCCTCCTCACCTCCTCCCCCCCTCCTCCTTCCTCCTCCTGCCTCCTCCTCCTCCTCCTCCTCCTCCTCCTCCTCCTCCTCTTCCTCGCCTTCCCCCACCCCTTCCCCATGCTTCTCCCTCCCACTCCTATTCTTCATCCTCTCCCACCTTCTCCTCGCTGCCCCACCTATTCTTCGTTCCAACCCCCATCTCCTTCTCCTCCGTCCCCTCCTCCTCCTCCTCCTCTTCCTCCTCCTCCTCCTCCTCCTCCTCCTCCTCTTCTGTCTTCGTCCCGCCTTTGCTAGGCCTCCCACAAACTATCCGACCCGGGGGTCGCCCTTCCCAGGTCCTGGAAAGCGCATCCTGCCCCAAGCGAATGTGTCCGCATGGCGATCGGATATCCAACCGAAGCCCACCAAAAACCCAGGATCTAAAATGGCAGATCCCTCGCACCGGATATCTTGTCGGGGCTGCGAAACGAAAACGGCCCACGAGATCGCCGAAACACCGTTCACGTCGAGCCCTGGCCTTCGCCCGGGCCCCCTTAAATTCTGACAGCCCGAGGGCCCGGAGCAGGCCTCCAGAGGCCACGTGGGGGCCCGGAGCAGGCCTCGGGCAGCAGAGGAAACGACGGCGCGGGCATGACCTGTCGGAGGTCCGCGAGGTCTTCCTGGGCCGTCGCTGACCCCGCTCCTCTGGCTGGCGAATGGCGCGACAGGGGCTGCGCCTCCAAGGGGGCCCAACGCCGACCTCGGAGCATTTTCTTAGGGTGGAGGGCTCAGCAGGGTGAAATCCATATGGGCTGTTGCACCTCGAAAATCCAGATTCACCCTTTGTAGATTCAAGCCTCGAAAATCCATGGAAACGGCATTTCAGACTTCACCCTTTGCCCTCCACCCAAAGAAAATGCTCGGGACCTATATAGGACATCTCCGCGGCACTCCGACCACGGCTGCGGACGCAGCTCTCTGCCAGTGCTCTTGCGCCTCCGGAGGGCCGCCCAATTGGAGGCGGAGCAGCTGGGGTCGGAGGATCGCGCCGTACCGCCAGCGCACCAGCGTCGCATCGGCGACGGCGGGACGCAGAAAGGCGGATTTCAGATCCCGGCGCATCGCCGATGCACTGGCGATGCGGCGCGATCCTCCGACCCATACCCCCGACGTTATGATTTTTTCACAACGTCGACCCCTGGAGGTCTCGACCCATTCCCCTGGACCGGTTTTTTGATCCTGAGTCGGTTCTTTGACAGTCCCGAGGGCCGGTACAGTGAGGGTCTTGACCTAAGGAACCATAAATAAGGAACGAACCCCCTTTTTTTCCAAGTAAGCCCATGAAGCCAGAAGGAACAGCCGAGCCCCTTTCTAGCGGCGTTCCGCTACGATTTGCTCTTGCAATTCGACCCCCGCCCTCTCCGCCAAACCACCAAAGAACGCTCGCCCCCCCCCCTCCCCCGCCGCTCCAAAACCGCACGCAGAAGCGCAGCCTGCGGGCCGGAAATAGCCAAAAACCTCCCGTCGTAATTGTTTCCTTGCCCGGGGTCTGGGGACCCACCCCGAGGTCTCTCGCCGCCACGGCCGCATCCGCCTCGAACAAAAACGGGTCAGGATGGCTCCTGGGGAGGGGTCCCCGGGGCTGCTCTGGACCCGATCTGGGCCAGTCGGGAGAGCCGCGATTGACTCGGCTGGCCCTCCTCCAGCCCACCGTGGGAGGCCTCCGCATCCTGCCGCCTTGAGGCAGGCCTCCCGCCGCCCTCCCCCCCCCCCCCGCCCTCGCCGACCACGGCCCGCCGTGCCCCCGGGACCCGACGCTGCGAACAAGAGCGGCAACTCCGAGCAGAATCACAGCCAGAGCACTGCAGGCCCGCTCCTCCTCCTCCGCCTCCTCCTCCTCCTCCTCCCTCCTCCTCCCCTCCCCCTCCGCTCCTCTCCTCCTCCCTCCTCCACCTCCTCCTCCTCCTCCTCCTCCTCTCCTCCTCCTCCTCCTCTCCTCCTTCTCCCCCTCCTCCTCCCCTCTCCCCTCCTCCGCCTCCTCCTCCTCCTCTTCCTCCCTCCTCCTCCTCCTCCTCCTCCTCCTCCTCCTCCTCCTCCTCCTCCTCCTCCTCCTCCTCCTCTCCTCCTCCTCCTCCTCCTCCTCCTCCTCCTCCTCCTCCTCCTCCTCCTCCTCCTCCTCCTCCTCCTCCTCCTCCTCTCCTCCTCCTCCCCTCCTCCCCCTCCTCCTCCCTCCTCCTCCTCCTCGTCCTCCTCGTCCTCCTCCTCCTCCTCCTCCTGCTCCTCCTCCTCGTCCTCCTCGTCCTCCTCCTCGTCCTCCTCCTCGTCCTCCTCCTCGTCCTCGTCCTCCTCGTCCTCGTCCTCCTCGTCCTCCTCCTCCTCCTCCTCCTCCTCCTCCTCCTCCTCCCGCAGATCCCGAAGCGGATGGGCGCGCGAACGAGCGGGCGGAGGGGCGCGCGCGAGGAGGGCGGAGGGGGGGGGGAGAACAAGAGCGGGGGCGGAGCGCGGGGAAGGCGGGACGGCGTTCATCGGGCCGGCTCGACCCGCGGGGGCCCGAATCCGCGCGAAAGCGCCCGGTGTTGAAAGACCCTGACCTTGTGGCATCTTGCACAACGTGGCCCCCCCCTTAAGTCTGGACCCCCTTCTGAGAGACCTGCTTCGACGTCCCGGAGGCCCCGGGGACTTCGCCATCGCTCAGACGTCCGTTCCCCGTGCATGTTTCGGGTTCGTGCGCATTTTGCTCGCAAGATGGCTGGGAAATCCTCCCCGATGGGCCTCGCCCAGAGAAGCTGCACACGTCCGAGCGATGCTCAGGGACTGGCGAGTGCCTCCATTGGGCCGACGGCGAGCGACAACCTCCCGTCGAGTCGTGCACGACGCGGGGGGGTGCGGTGAGGTAGAGCATCGGCCACGGCGGCGGCGACGAGCCACGACGACGCCGAGCAAAGACGGCAACGAGGCCACGAGCCGGCGGCACGCGGAGGGGGCAGTGAGCGGGGGCAGACCCTCTCAGAGGGCGGCAGGGCTTCTCGGAAACCCTCGCGCCCTCTTGCAGGGGCCCTGGGACACACAAATAAATACACACACATAAAGATACTCCCCATACTCTCCCATATTTTCTGGGTTCTTGTCTTCCCCCCCACTTCCCATATTTTCCCATATTCTCGTGGAATCGACGATGAGTTGTGCCTGTGTGTGTGTTTTTTTTCCCTCCCGACCTCTGCTGGGGAGCCGGCCCTCCGGCGGCCGCTCGGGACGACTCGGGGGCCCCCCCTAGGAACGCTCTTGGACAGACGCAGCTGCCGGAGAGCGTCCCGAGGCTGGGACACCGCTCAGAATATTTCGGCCACCTTGGAAGCAAGAATATTACCACCGTCGCCGAGATCGGGATTTTCTTCCCTCGGTGGCGGCATGCCGCCGATATTGGTGTTGGTGTCAACCTCTAGGCCTGCGAGATCCGGGCCCCCCTAGGAACGCTCTTGGACAGACGCAGCTGCCGGAAAGCATCCCGAGGCTGGGACACCGCTCAGAAGCGACGAGCGCTGGAAGGCTGTTACGGCAGGTTCGTGTCGTGGCGACCCCAGCGTTGGTTTTTGACACCGCGCTGGATCGTTCAACCTTGAACGATCGGCCGTCTCCGCAACGTCCGATCGTTCAACGTCGATCGGTTCTGGGTCGCCGGCGGCGTTCAACCTTGAACGCCCACGCTGGGGTCGCCGCTGGTCGACACGACGCAAACCTACCGTAGGGACTTCTGAAAGGACCGGCGGCCTTCCGAGCCCTCTGAGAAGGCCAAGTCCCTCTGCCTCCCCAGACCCCCGACGCAATGATTTTTTCATTACGTCGACCCCCGTAGGTCCCGACCCTTTCTCCATGACCGGCTTTGCATCCTGAGTCGTTTTTTGACACTCCCGAGGCCCGGTGAGGGCCCCCCGAGGCCGAAAATTAGGAAAAACCTCCCGTCATGATTTTTTCATTGCTCGAGGGGGTCTGGGTCCCCCCCTTGGGCTCGCTGCCGAACGACGCGCGCGCGCGGCGAGCGCTCCAGCCACGACGGCGGCGACGACGAGACGGCCGACTACCCTTGGGCAGCGGCGGCGCACGGCGAACGCGGACCCACCGGAGCCCACCGGGCCCCGCGCTCGTCCCGCGCGGCGTGGAAGCGCCGGAGCCACTCCTGGCGCGTGTGCCTCGCGGAAGCGCTGGTCGCCGGGCGGCGGCGATCCACGCGATCCAGGCGACCGACGACCCACGACCGGGGAAGGGGCAGGGGCAGAGGAGAGAGGTATCGAATGTCAGCTCGTGGTTGGCAAAAACATGGGGGGCGCGCGATTTAAAAATAGTTCCTCTGTTCGAGCGAATCGAAGGCGGGGGCCCGCAGAATTGAAACATGCGGCGGCGGTGCTGGTGACTCGCGCCGACGCCCGGCCGACTGCAGGAGGGCGAAAGGCGCGACGCAAGCAACGTCGCTTCAGCAGAGGGGGACAACACCGCCTCCGATATAGCGGGGCGGTCGGGTTAAAATGGCTGCGTACAGACAGGAGAGAAACAGGAGGTGGGGGAAATAGGTGCCTCGGCTGGCGGGCGGTGCCGACATGGCCACAAAAAAACTGTAAAGAGGGGGAGGGGCGGAAGAGGCAGGCGGAGAGGGCTCCTCCTTCTCCTTCTCCCTACCCCCCCCGTCCACGACAACGTCTCCCTCCACAACAACGTCCTGCGACGGCGGACGACAACGCAGTGCGGATGCTCCATGGGGACGAGGACGGGGACGAGGACGACGACGGACGACGACGGCGACGACGACGCACTGCGGACGCCATGTGGGGGGAGGCTGCTTAGGTCCGCTATTGTCGACGACGACGACGACGACGACGACGCAGCGACGAAGATGTCAACAACGCGACGACGACGGCGGCGACGACGACGCACTGCGGATGCCCCATGGGGGGGGGGCGGGGCGGGTGCTGCGTATGCCCAGCCCGATGTAGCCGACGACGACGACGACGACGACGACACGTCGATAATCAGCCTGAGACTGGGAGAACGTTCGCCTTGGATGTATAGGACCCCTAGAGCAGTTTACTATACGACGGGCAATCTTTTTGAGGCTGCCTTGCAGGGGGTACACGATCCCCTCGACGGCGCCCGCGACGACCCCCTGGCGCGCATGCAAACTAAGCAAAAAACAAGTTCGCGCCCCGCGAGATCTATTCCTCAGCCCCGGGGGGGAGCTCTATTGTTAGTCACAAGCTTATACTATTTATGTAGGGAGAGATAAAGAGAGAGAGAGAGAGAGAGAGAGAGAGACATAAAACAACACTTAACACATGTATATACATATATATATAAATATATATATCGAGAGAGAGAGAGACAGAGACAGAGACGGCGAAACAGAGAGAGAGAGAGGGAGGGAGAGAGAGGGAGAGGGAGAGAGAGGGAGAGAGAGAGAGAGAGAGGAGGAGAGAGAGAGAGGGAGGGAGAGGGAGAGCGAGAGGGAGAGAGAAGGGGGAAAGGGGACAGAGAGGGAGGGAACACACACACAGACACACAGACACACAGACACACAGACACACAGACACACACACCGACACACCGACACCGACACCGACACCGACACCGACACCGACACCGACACCGACACCGACACCGACACCGACACCGACACCGACACCGACACCGAATCGCAGCGCATGTCCGCCTCTGCGGGCCTGCGGGCCGGGGGCCCAACAAACCGCCAGGCGCGGCGAGCGCCTGGGGGGGGCGCTCCCCGGAGGGCGCGCCCGCGCGGCGGCCCCGGCAGCCGACGGAGCCACGGCGGGCCGCCTCGGGCCAGCGCAGCGGCGCAGCGAGCCGCGGGCGGCGGGGAGCCGACGCCGCCTGCTGCGTGCCCCAACATCGGGCCGCGCCGCCTGCTGCGCGCCCCAAGGGGGGGATGGCAAAGGAGGGGGAGGGTGAGAATCAGCTCGCGTGCAGCCGATTTTCCCGGCGCCGGGGGCGGCCATATGCATCGAGGAATGGGCTCCTCGGCGGGACCGAAGCCAGCTGCACGCAGCAGATTTCGTAACCCCCCCACTATCCCAATCCCCCCCCTGCCGTCCGGCCCGAAAGAAGGGCGGAGGCACGGGGCGTGGGCAGGGAGCCTTGCGGTGGGCAGGCTGGCCCCGCCGAGGGCCGGGCGGCGCGCCCGTGACGACGAGCCTGCCGGGACGCGGGACCGCGGGACCGCGGCAGGGCCAAGAGCCTCGCGCCTTCCATCGCTCGGACGTCCAGTCCCTGTGTTCTTGTCGGCTTCGTGCGTGGCTTTTTCGCCAAATGGTGAACAATGCTCCTCGATGGTCCTCGCCGAATGAAAAATGCACACGTCCGAGCGATGCCAAGCGCGCTGCCTGGCGCGGGGGGGGGGGCGGAGGGGGAGCAGGCGCGCAGACCGGCTCACGGCGGGAGCGGCTCGGTCAGGAAGCCGAGGCTGAGCTCTGGCAGCCAGCGGCGGCGCAAAGAAAGCAGAACGATCCTGCAAGGCAGCGGGCAGGCGGAACTGCGGAGGCGGCGGGTCAGAAAACGCGGGGTCGACGGAACCGTTGAAAAGATTGGAACTTTGGTTGATGACCGTGACGGTTGTTCTAAGGCAGATGAGTGGTCGGAACGGTTGGCGGTTGGCCGCGTGACGGCAATGAGGCTGTGGCGGTGGCGGTGGTGCAGTCGGGCTGCAGCGTAGCAAGGCTGGCGCGAGACCGTGGCCGGCGGCAGCAGCCCCCAGGGTGCGGGGCGACTGTGGGTCTGGCGAGGTAGGGGGGCGGATGTCATCGTCATCGCCGTCCCCAGGGTCGACGGCAGCTTCCCTGCCTCCACGCGGCCTGGGACTGGCATCCCAACCAGGGGCCGCGGCATGGGCGACGGCCTGGCAACGTCCCTCTGAGAGGGCTCGGAGGATGCAGGGGGTCAAGCCGAGAGCCACCCGTGAGGCGTGGGCGGCAAGAAATCCGCCGACCTTTCCGCGCGTGGAAAACGCTGTCGTCGTCGTCGTCGTCGTCAGCGTCGTCAGCGTCGGGTGGCGAGCCCACGGGCAGGGCGGGGGAAGACGAGCAGCCGGGGCGGCCGTGCCCGGGAGGACGGCGCCAGAGGCCGCGCCCCAGCGGGCTCGCCGCGGTGTCCAGCGGAGCGTGCCGCCGCGGAGCGCGCCGCTGGGAGCCGTGGAAGTCGCGAGGGGCGCCACGCGGAGCGCTCGGGCAATGGGCCGTGGGCGGGGTGCGTCTCCGCCACGGCTTGGGCCTGGTGGCCCAGTCGCGCCGGGCTCGCCGTGGGCTGCAGGCTGGGCCAGCCATCGAGATGGAGCAGACGGTGCCCACAGGGACAGCGATGCAGGAGCAGCCGGCGGTGGCGTCGATGCCTGCCTCGATGCTGCAGGCGAGGGGAGCGTCGGTGCAGCCGTCGACGCAGGAGTCGATGATGCCGGCGTCGATAAAAGCGTCGAAGCATCATTCGACTGGGTTGGCGCCAGCGTGCGTGCAGGCGCGAGCGTCGATGCAGGCGCCGATCGATGCGGGAGCCGACGGTGGAGGGTGCGCCGGCCAAGCCGGCGGCGCAAGCGGCAGCAGCTCCAGAGAAAGGGGCTGGCGGACTGAGCGCGTGCCAGCGGGGGCAGACGAGCGGCTGGGCCGGCCAGGTCTCCGCGGCCCCTGCGGCAGAGGCTGCGGCCCCCGCAGCGGGCTTGCCGCGGTGTCCAGCGGCGCGCGCCGCTGGGGGGGCGGCGTCGGAGGCCGCGGAAGTCGCGCGGGGGTCCACGGCCGGGGCCCAGCGCCCCAGTCGCGCCGCCGTCCTGAACGCCCGCGGGTGGCCGGCTGGCGTGGCCAGGATATCGCATCCTCGCCCCCGTCCTCAGCGATGGCGGGGCCCAGGTGTGCCCGCGCGCCGAGATGTGGAGGGAGGAGGAGGAGGAGGAGGAGGAGGAGGAGGAGGAGGAGGAGGAGGAGGAGGAGGAGGAGGAGGAGCGATGGTGTCGTGGCGGTATGTGCAGTGGCTCGGCGCGACGGCCGACCCCGACTGACGGGCTGCTGACAGGGCAGCCATGCCCAGCGTGGCGATGACGGGCTCAACGCCGGCGCGAGGCCCTGGAGGAAGGGCACGGCGGAAGGCAAGGTGCCCGGGGGCGCTCGCCATGGCGCGGGCCTCCTCGTCGAGGGCGACGAGGAGGACGACGCGGCGAGGAGGGCGAGGAGGACGCGGAGGACGCGGGCAACGAGGAGGACGAGGACGATGAGGAGGAGGACGAGGAGGACGAGGTCGAGGGCGACGAGGAGGGCGAGGAGGACGAGGAGGACGAGGAGGACGAGGAGGACGAGGAGGACGAGGAGGACGAGGAGGACGAGGAGGACGAGGGCGACGAGGGCGACGAGGATGACGCCGAGGACGACGAGAAGGACGACGGCCACGAGGACGGCGAAAAGCACCAGGATCCTCGTCCTTCGCTGGGATGGGCGGGGCAGGAGCCCGCGGAGGTCGACTCTGGATCTGCTGTGGGTCGGCTGCTGGGGGGGCCTGGGAGCGGAGTCCAAGCCGCTGCCACTGCGGCCTGGGACGGGCGTCCCAACCAGAGGTGGCTGCGCGAGTGACGGCCTGACAGAGCCCCACGGACAGGGCTCGAAGAAGCTGAGACATCGCCAGCACAGCGCGCGCGGCGCGACCAGCAGCGGCGAGCGACGGTACAAGATGGGCGGTTGCCTGGGAGGGGGCCTCGCGAGGAGGAGGACTCGCAAGAGCGAGTGTTGGCGGCACGCGGTGCGCGTCGAGACCAACAGCGGAGGGCGCTTGGCCGCGCCTGCTGGGGCAGTGGGCGCTGGCGGGCGAAGGGAGGTGGCCGCTCTCCTCGTCGCCGCCGTGGTCGGCCGTGGATCCCCGCTAATCCACGGCCTGCGTATGCCAGGGGGGAGACAAGGATCGCAGCTGTGGCGGGCGGGTCGGTGGGAGCGTCGGCGCAGACGCGGCAGCGGCGTTGACCGGCGGGAGCTGCAGTGTGCACAACGGCGGAGACAACGCTGAGAGCTTTCAGATCCGTGCGAGAAGCCCATGCAAAGCCAGGTCCCGGTGGACGTGTTCTTCTGATCCTCCTGGGCACGGGGGCACCAGGGGTTAATCCAAGCGCACGTCTCCGCCGACGTCGCCTGGGACTGCGCATGGTGCGCGCGCCCTC